AAAGAGTGCGGGCGCGGCGCTCCCCCCCCTCTGCCCCCCCCCCCCCCCCCCTCGGACCATCAGGCCGCATTCAGCTGTTTCACAATCTAATGTTCTGGGCCGCAAAGTTCAAAGTACAGCCAGCGTCTTCAATCAAACGCTAGAAATAATTTTTTCCACCATCAATCTGAGTCTTGTTTTTTATGATGAGCTGACAATCGAATGCTGACCCCGGGCTGTCCTGGCTGTGTGATTGATGACAGGTCTTGGCTGCCATCTTGGCTTTACATCTTTCAGATTCACAGGGCAGTTAACAGGAGCAGTAATACAGGTATATTTCCTTCTGCAGGACAACTATGAAATTAATGAAAAGGAACTACTAAAAAACCCATACATTTACATTCTTCCAGGTTTGGTTTTGTTGCTTACGATACTGCAGGCGCGTTCTCCTCTCTTTTATATTTCACATTCATAACTTGCTTTGTGGGATTGTTAGATTTTTTACTTCCTCCCTCCTACACACACTGGCAGATGTCTGGAGGAGGGGGCTGCTATTGTTCACCCACAGTACATCTACGCTGCAGCACGCATATCATGTGCATTTGGACTAACAAACACAAAGCTATGCAAATGAGTTACAGCCCTGTTGTCTTTGATAACAATGTGTTCCTGTGCTTTATTTATAAGTGGCAGCATGAAAAGACCAACATGTAAAAACCTCACCTGTGGTGACACGCATTTTTATGGTTGTGGAGACGAGGTGGCAAAAGATCATTTGTTGTTTTAACTCAGAAAAACGTGAAAATTATCACAGAAAACAAGATGTGCACATAATTTACACACTGTCACCAATAATTATTATAATCCTTGTTTTTTGTTTTAAATAGCATCATAGGCTAGGTAGGGGGACCATACTAGATTCTCCACAGGACTGGCTGGAATGCAGCCCCAAACCATTACAGAGCATATCATCAAAATACATCTGTCATTCCCTTCAAATGGACTTATCTTTAGTATTACAGTATTAATTAATGTATTTTGTGTGTTTTGAGAAACTACTGGACCTTCAAACTTGTTCCAGCATGAGCAGGAATCCCCAAAACAAAAAAGAAGAAAATCTGGAATTCAAGGACATTGGACCACATTAAAAGATTACTGGCCACTTCAGTGGCCATATCAGTGCGTCATGAAAAGATGTCAAGAAATGTAGTATGGAAAAAAAGTATGTATTGGTTTTTCTGTGTGCATTTATTAAGGTGAAGAGAAAGACGCGATGCAGCAAACGACCACAGGTCAAAACTAAACCTCAGTATCAGCACTTTGAAAAAGCTGAAGAGTATTTTTTATAGTTTGACAGGCATACGATTTAACCAAAAACAAACCAACTTCTCCAATGTGACTTGTGTGTGACTGTGTGACTTTAACTAGTTATTAAATCAAACAAAGTGCAGTTTGGACTTGGTCCAGAAAGAGGACAGTTTATTAGCTTACTTTATATTCTGTATCCTTGAAAGTCTGACGTTTGAGGAAAAATCTTGTGCTGAATTAGTGCCTTGTAAAGCGCTCCTCTGCAGCTGCTGCTGTGAATATAAAGCAGCACCTGCTCATGTCTGGCTCTCAGTCCTGACAGGTCCAGGCTTTTATGGTTTCACCTGGTCTCTGTGTACCTTGACTGGGTCAAAGAGGGTGGGGCCGGATCTCTTACGGCTGCCCCCCCCAACGCGCCACTGAAGGAAGGGACAGCTGCTGCCTCTGACATCCTCAGCAAGCATGGGGACGAGCTCCTCTCAGTGTGTAAGGATTTCAGCTATGTCTCCATTAGACCCCTGTGAGCACACATCAGCACTAAATATAGCCCAATTAACGTCACGACCACAGGCCCTGCCCAGCTCACCCTCACTACTCCCTCTCCTGGGTGCTGTGTGTGAACCAATCATAAAGGTCAGGGTCCTGTTCCCTCTGACCCTCTTTTTCCTTTTGAAGTGTTATCTGGGTGATAATCTGCTATGAGTCTGAAATGCCAATTACAAACAACGAGGGGTTTAGTCTCCTAGTTGTTACCCTAGAGAACTTATTAGAAGCTGAGGAAAGGAGATAAGTGAGAATATTTCCACTGTAGAGGGAGACACTGAGGAAGCAAGGATGATTAGTCTGAAAGTCTAATTTAATGTTGAAAATCAGAAATGTTAGATGTGGTCCAACTGTAAAATGATCAAGAGAACAAGCCTAGAGTTTTCTTTTCATCTTTTTTTTTGTTTTTGCTCCATCAAGGCTGATGTTGCCACAAAGATGTAAATACAGGAAATTGTTTGCACTCAAACATGACATAACCTGAACCAGGACAAACCGTGAACCAGCAACAAACACAGATGTAGGCAACCCTGGATCCCCCCGCTCTCTGTAGACCCTGGGACTTTTCTAAACTAAAAATAATGTATACACGTATGGGACATGTTATGGAAAATGGATTCGGTTCATTACAAGTGCCCGTCTGTCTCACCTCGGCTTACCAGACATTTGCTTACATAACTGAACGTTTAACGATGCGGCTCAGATGTCGCCCGGCGCTGCACATTATAATGACATCGTCCTATCGCTCATTCATGATCCGACTTATAAGGCAAGAACACCGTGCTGCAAAGACCTGTGAACCTGCAGATCGGCCAATCTGCCAAGCATGACCGCTGTTTTCCACAACACAAACAAGCCACAGGATGTGTCTGGCCCTGGTTGGCCATTTCTGCGGCTTAGTAGAGGGACATGCTTGAATGGGCTCCCATTGTCAATCTATTTGTCACCCACTATTTTGTGGTGGCCATTGGCCTGAACCCAAGGTCGATTAGCTCATAGATCTAAATATACTCGTTGAGAGAAGAAAGTCAGTTTATGTCTTAAACTGTAGCTTATAAATAGGAAGTGGAAAATCCATCTGCTTTCACAACTATACACTGTTCCAGAACCCTGTATCATTTACTACAGAGTATGTTCTAAAGAACGTAGACGTTAACTTGGTATTGATACTATACTATACATACTCAATATATATTAATATACTATACTACTTAAAAATTATTGTTAAACTAAGTAGGAAAGTCATCATTTCAAATTAACTTGCAATTACATACAGTTAACAGCCAGGGATTTACATAATAGCATATGACATTTGAAGTATGATAAAGAAAACAAAAAACACAAAATATTCCTGGCTGCACATTAGTAAATCAGACTCAATGTGTTCTTCAGTATAATTATGTTAGCAATCTATGAATCAGTATTTATCATTATATACATAGTGGATAAAATGTTATCTGTGCCTATATTATATGGTATTTTGGGGATAATAATTGTATTTTAAATGTAAATTTTATTAAAATTTTATACCATACTTTACATTTTTTTGTCCACTGCAACTATTCGGTCAACCAAAAATGGCCACTGAACCCTAACTTCAGCAGCTTTTCTAAAGAAATCTCAAAAGAGCCTACAATAAATTTAGAATGTGACAAAAATATGGGAGGAGTTTGTCTACTATTGCTTTAACCCTGGGACCCTGTGCTGCATGTTTACCTATGTAAGTACTCCCTTTAAGAATCTGTAATATAATTTATTCCCATCACTCCCTAGTAAACCTCAACTAACCTAGTAAAGGAACTAAATAGAGATGAGCCGACTGCCTACGCTGTGACCTGATGTGGAGTATGGCAGAGTGCCTGTTAAACCTTCAGGCTGCAGTAAGCTGAGAACTTTGTGGAGTCAGGGGCAGGAGACCTGAGTGGGTTTGCTTCACCAGCACTCATTCACCTGGAATCCATTTATAAATCCTCCTCGGCACAGGTTGAATGTGGTTGAATTTGTTTTATTTTTTTTTGTTTCTGAAATTGAAACTTGAAACTAAAAGAGGCCATGGTTGAAACTTTAAGTAAGAATGTGAGAGCTGATACAGCAGGCCTTTGACACAGAAGACACAGCTCCTATCCAGAATACAGCAGGCTGTTTCCAGCAGGCTCTGCTTTGTCTCAGCACAAACACAGCCCTTCTTTGTGGAATCTGAAATCATCCTCAATACCTCCAGTCTTCAGTTACAGTCCTAGAACAGCAGAGCGCTGAGCTTCTGTACGCTCGGTACAAACTCATTACTGACTCAGACACTGCCTGTGTAAACAGCTCTAAATCTGTGAAAACACCATTATTCATTCCTCATAACGGTTACACAATTCAGGACAGAATTTAAATGGGTAGACAGGCTGTTTGGGACTTCTGTAGCTAAAAACAGATAGTGGTGGTGAGGTGAGGGAGGCGGGGGAATAGAAGGGGGCGTTTGTGCAAGCTGAGCTACATAAATGCAGCAGTGTTCAGGGTGCACCACTTGTGTCAGAGCATCCCTTAAGGGTCCTGCGGGAGTCTTAGCAGTGACTGTAACTTCATCTCTGAGTCAGCCAGGACTGGTGAACCAAGCTTGCACGCATATGCTGGTCAAACACACATGTAAATGTAGCTTAACTTTAAATAGTCAAAGTATATTGTGTTTCAGAAAGTGCAGTGGGCTGACCTCCATGACCCTTCAGTGCACTCGCAGCCTCAAGTCCATGGGGTAAATAAAGAGAGACTAAAATTTCAGCCACTGGCTAAGGACACAGAACTGGTCCTTAAAGGTTACCTGGTTGGTAGAAGTTGGGGGAGAGTTCCCTGGCAACTGCCCTGGCAATTTCAGAGTCGTGCACAGCTGAGATAGCTGCCTGCTCTGCAGCTTCACTTTTTGTCCTGGCATGGGCTGTTCTGTAGAAACATAGGAGGAAAAGAGAAACATTTAAGACCTAATAGTCTGAAGACTGATTAAGACAAAGAATTAGATTTTTGTTTAAAACAACTTTAAAACACCAAATAAATATATATATATATCAATTTTAGCCAACAGGTCTGTAAAGGAATATGTAGCGGTCCTAATGTTAGCTTAACATTTTGCTAATGTAACTTAATGAGCTCTCCTTCTACTTGGTCATTTAATCACCAAGTGATGGTAATGGGGGGTGGAGGGGAGGTGATCCAGTGTCACTGCATCACCAGCTATACCCCCTTTTCACCTCCCTCAATTATCTTACTCCTTGTTTCAATGGACACTACTGTTTTTTATTTCATCATCAGGCCATTTACACCTTCTCCCATCACCCCTCCCTCCCTCCCTTGATATCATCGTCTAAGTGACCCCCCCATTAACAAGATGACTCCACTTCAGCCAACTTCTCTGCCCTTGGACCCCAGGGCTGTTTGTGTTTTCGACAGACTGGGACAGTGAAATTTTAAAATGCATGAGTAGCCATATGCTGGCAGGAGGGACGGAACATTTCCTCTCCAGAAATACAGTAAAAGGACACAGTCGGACAGTGTTCAGGAACAGCGTGGCCTTTGGAAGACACTGGCCAGCTGCAGTTTTGAGAATTTTAAAAAGGTAGCAAACACTGTAACAAATAGCTCTCTGCTTCCTGACAGGAATTATGTGAAATATGCCAGAGCTGACGTTGACGCATTCCAGTTACGCCGTGCTGCTGACATGAATTCTTCGGACACCTACTTGGCACACATGCTGCAATCAGGATGTACATGCATCTATTTCTGAAATGTGCAGCCAAGTGAAAGGAGGCATGAGTGCGTCATAGATGTCTGTAGCGTGCAACAGGGCATATTCTAACATTTCCCGCTAGGTAGTGTTGGCATTAAGTCATGAACAGATTCAGAGAGCGGCGCAGACTGTTCGCAGACAGGATGTCTGGTTGTGGGAGGTGACAGGCAGAGAATGATGGGGGCAGAGTAGAGGTGCGACAGAGCAGTGGGACAAGAAGAGAGTGTCATGGAAGGTGAGAAAACATGGGCATGTGAAGCAGGGATGCTTCCCAGCATCACTGAAGTTGATCTTACATGTGGTTTGATTCCAGTTAGTAACAAACAACCACAAAATCTTCAGTTTACATTTATTTCTAGTGGTTTGTGCCACACTTCACCCTGCACCACAGGAGTGCACAGAAAGCTGTGTCCATTTGTTATATATAGTCTATGAGAAAAAAAAAGTTCTGTATGCACCAAGACTGCTGAGTGCTACATTGCAGAGTTGGACCAAATTTGTGTTTTTTCCCCCATTATAACAGAAATATTCAGCTCAGCAATGCAACAATATGAAAATCTCCTTTTAATGTGGACTTGATAAATGGGCCCAACATGTACTTTAAATATGCATTTTATCAACCTCTGACAGGAAAACAAAAACTTCTTGAATTACTTTATGAATAAACCAAAATATACTAGTTCAGCCTGTTTTATTTATATGACTTATCGGATAGTCTTTGTTTAGCCAGACATAACATCTGTTCATGGGCAGCAGGGGTCTCAAACTCTCCTTTCCTGAGTATTAATGAAAGTCCAGTACAGACATACAGTAGCACAACTGCTGCATTAAAGAGAAGCCAGAAACATTTTTTATCTGGAGTTGTTTAGAATGTGTCAACAGAAATGTTTCCAGGCTGACTTGTCCTTTGTTGTCTAATCCTCGCTGCTAGTCACCTGGCAGCAGTTCAGCTGACATTGCTGACTCACATTTACGGCGACTGAGGGTCATAAAAGTAAATGACCGCACTTCTTCTTCCATCTTTAATTCAACTGTCTACATTTGTCCACTAACTCTTTGATAAGTTTCAGGTAGAGACCTCCTCCTAACCACTCAATGTAGACCCTGCTAACTTGTCAATTTAATAGCTTTGATTAGAGGAACTGCATACTTAATGGCGCCTCCTTTGGCAGCCTGTGTGGATTGCAAAGAGACTATAAATTATTTTTAGTGGTTATCATGCCTGATTACACATCTGCCTTACATGCAGAAAGCCCTGGATTCGAGCCCCAGAGGAGCCGTGTACTTGACACCTCCAAGGGGCAACCAACTGCAGTTAACACCACAGTTCTCAATTATTAATAATAGCTTTGATTACCCCAAAAACCTCTGCAGTAGCCAGGCAATATATATTTGAAATACACAGCAAAATGTGTGGAATGCCACTTATTTATCGCTACACAATCTTCAATGCAGTTTTTCCTGGGACAGTAAAGGCATCACCGCCTTGTCATGTCTCTGAGCAACCACTACACCTGTGACTTTAAGAAGTCAAATATTTGGTTTTGTGGCTTTGGAATCCCAGAAAACAAAACATTTAAGTAGAATTATACTACTTCACATAAACATAGTTTTTACTAATTAAAAAAGTGTTAGCCCGAAGCCAAGGCTTTACAGTTTCCCTTTCTTAAAGCACTTTATAGTTAGAGGGAGAGATTCCATTGATTCTATGTGGCTAAGATCTTTGACTTTGCTTTATTACTGTGGCAAATACATTTTGCATAATAAAAAGAAAGAAGTGTTGAGTCATGGTGGCTGGTAATTTTTCACTCTGTTGAAAGTGTGTTTGTGTGTTACTGAGGATGATGGTGGTGAGAAGACGAAAAAGAGAGGAGACGGAGAAAAAAGCCACACTGAGGTCGAGTGAGACACATTGCCCCCCTGAAGACTTCTGGGTATTTGGAACTGCTGAGTTATGCATCTCTGCCTCTCTAATTTTACTGTAGAGTTAAATTTCAAACCCCAGCTCCCATGTGGCACAGCGCATCCTTCTTGAAGGTTTGTCATCCCCCAGTCTCCCCGAGGATGTATTTTGTGTGTATCTGTATAATGTTCCTGTTGTGTGTGTGGAAATTCCCCTAAGTGAAGCTTCTGTCCATCACTCCTAAGGCTGTGTCCTATTTGAAGACCCCCACCCCCCCCACACACACATATGCTGATACAGTTCTACACCCTCCCTTCGCCTTGGCCCCCGCTTTCTTTTTCTCATCTTCCTTCTCTGACCCATTCGCCCTCCCCTGTCCCAGCTGGGGGAAACAAATGCTGACCAATACACTATAGAATAAGATAGAGAATGATTCTGGACCGTGTGAGTAGAACACATCAGCACTCACCAATCTTGCGTTTATCTCTCTCTCTCTCCCTCTCTTACCCTTCTCTCCATCAATCTTAACAGCAACGACCAAGTGAAAACCACCGTTACACAGACAGGGTTGTATTTCAAGACCACGGTCCATTTGTGCCCTGATGCTCCTGCTCTAAATGCACAGATCTGCTGTGTGAAAGGATAGTATATCAATGTAATTTACAGCCCCTTACATATTTCCTCAGGGCAGCCTCCAGTTCCAGAGCAGCAGCACTGAACATGACAGAAAAGTCTGCACAAATTAGCACTTAGCTTACCCTGCGCATATCTCCTCAATTCATACAAGCCCTGTTATTGAATACTCAGACGGTGCTAATTTGGGATTACTCGAGCATGACTAACACCATTAGTGAGTAGCTAAAAACTGACGACTCTGAAATTACTTTAAGATTTATTCTGGTGGCGGTGGCGGCGGAAAAGGGCACGGCTTTAGATGTGAAACACAGTGGCTGCTATTATGAGATAAGCTAACTTTATCTGTGAGACAGGTTTAATGACAATAACAGGGCAATGTCATGATTGGATAATTAATATCTTGGCGGCTATGCTGCCTGGCAGAATTTCCTGTTGGGTTAAGTGATGCTTTTGTCAGTGCTTTTTGTTTGAACTAGTAAAGAAAACATAGTTAAATTTCTTATGTCTTTAGTGATTTTCTCCAACTTTCTATCCATCCATTCAGGGTGCTGGAGCCAATCACAGCTGTCAGGTACACCCTGGACAGTTCTCCATGTGGTCCATCACAGGGCCACATAGAGAGACAAACAAACAATCAGGCTCACATTCACACCTATGGTCCAACCAACCTTATATAATCCAATTTAGAAATCCTTAGGTACAGGGTTATATATAGGTTCATAAACAGGTGACTTGAGTAAAATCATCTCATTGTGGCAGAAAGAACATGCTTAGAGCCAAAACTGCAGACTCATGATAATGTGACCACCATTATTACATTCAGACGATCCCTAAAGGTCCAAAATTCCATGAAACTATTTCGGGATATCCCATGACGATGCCTACAGTACAGGAAAACCTGCTTTAGCGCTGAAGGCATGTGTACTTTTAATAACAGCACAAATTCCCACATGATCGCCCTGATCTACTGTCCACATGACACTTTATTTTAATAAGTGTGGGAAGAAATTGTTTATTTACACGTGGTCCACTCTGTGGGCCACATAAGTATACGTTTATGTACATACATGACATTCTATCCCCCAGTATAGTAATAATTTCATAATTGTGTAATAACTGACTAATATCATTATTGTTATTATCTATGAGGAACATGCAGTTCTGATAGAAGAGGAATAAAAAATAAATCCCACTGACAGTTTAGTTGGAGGATAACAAACAGACCTAATCTCCCGCTTGTGTTCCCTTTAGTCAGTCTCCTTTGAGAGCGCACTTGGCTGCCATCCAAAAAACACATGCTAACAGATGCGTTTGTGTATAAAAGCCTACATCGGTGTGCGAAATGCAGATTGCTGCTTTGTGCGAGCCTGCTGTGAACACGCACACTGTATATAATGAACTCTGTTTGGATCTGTTTTGGTTTGTGAGCAACGTCAGGCTCTCTTTCATCTCACAGGTCGATTACTTTCTCCTCTCGCTGCTGATGTGAGTCTTTATGCTCGCTGAGAGGGTGACACACAATCCCTGCTTCAGATGATCCCTCTGGTTTTTTTGGTGAAGGGCAACGGCAGGGTTCAGACCACAGCTCGGCGCTCTCTGTGTCAACACTGCCGGTGAAAC